CCCCCAGCCAGCAGCTACGCGCTGTACGGGGAGCGCCTGGGGCTGCTGGGTTCGTCGCCCCCCCCCGAGGCGCAGCGTTTCATCGCCGCCGTGGATTCGATGCTGCGCAGCACCGCCCCGCTGCTCTTCGTGCCGCCGCGGCTCCTCCGCGTCGCCCGGCATCCGCTCTGGAGGCGGCACGAGGCGGCGTGGGACGATATATTCCGACATGGTGCGACTCTGGGGGCTGTGGGGTCTGTGGGGTGTCTGTGGGGTGTGTATGGGGTATAAATCCCATAGAGCTCCTATGGGAGTGGGACGATATATTGCGATATGGTGCGACTCTGGGGGCTGTCGGGTGTATGGGGTGTGTAAGGTGTCTATGGGGTTTATGGGGTATAAATCCCATAGATCTCCTATGGGAGAGGGACGATATATTGCAACATGGTGCGACTCTGGGGTCTGTGGGGTGTCTGTGGGGTGTCTGTGGGGTGTCTATGGAATGTATAGGGTGTCTATGGGGTGTGTATGGGGTATAAATCCCATAGAGCTCCTATGGGAGTGGGACGATATATTGCGACATGGTGGGGCTGTGGGGTCTATGGGGTGTCTGTGGGGTGTCTATGGGGCATATAGGGTGTGTATGGGGTGTGTATGGGGTGTATAAGGTGTGTATGGGGTATAAATCCCATAGAGCTCCTATGGGTGTGGGGCGATATATTGCGACATGGTGCGGCTCTGGGGTCTATGGGGTGTCTATGGGGCATATAGGGCATGTATGGGGTGTGTATGGGGTGTATAGGGTGTATAAGGTGTCTGTGGGTATGTATGGAGTATAAATCCCATAGATCTCCTATGGGAGTGGGGCGATATATTGCGACATGGTGCGGCTCTGAGGGCTGTGGGGTGTCTGTGGGATATATAGGGTGTTTATGGGGTGTGTGGGGGGTATTTGGGGTGTGTATGGGGTGTGTATAGCGCAGATAGGGTGTATAAGGTGTCTATGGGGTGCGTGTGGGGTATAAATCCCATAGAGTTCCTGTGGGAGTGGGACGATATATTGCGACATGGTGGGGTGTGTGGGGGGTGTATAGGGTGTATATAGGGTGTATAGGGTGTATATAGGGTGTATAGGGTGTCTATGGGGTGTGTATGGGGTATATAGGCTTTGTATGGGGTGTCTATGGGGTATGTGTGGGGTATACAGGGTGTGTATGGGGTCAGAATGGGATTTCTGGGGTGTGTTTGGGGTATAAATCCCATATAGCAGCTGCTGGCGTGGGATGTCATCTTCCAACATGGGGTATGGGGCAAATGGGGAGATTTGTGGGGTGGGAGATTTGTGGGGTGGATGGGATGGATGTGAAAAAGAACCATAAAGACCCCCCAAATCTGTCCCCAAAGTGCCTCAAAAAAACCCCAAATAACCCAGAGAATGAAACAAAAACCCACCATTGTGACCCCAAATGTGACCCCAAATGTGACCCCAATAACTGACCCCCAGAAGTGATCCCAAAATGACCCCAAAAGACCAAAAATACCCATGAATAAGCCCAAAAGACCCCCAAATGAACCCAAAATAATCCCGAAATGACCCTAAAAAGGCACCCCCAAAATACCTCCAAATTCCTCAAACTGACCCCAAAAATAAAACCTCAAAACCCTCAATCTGACCCCAAAATGGACACAGCTGAGCGCTGCATCCAGAAGCTGTGCGGGGAGGTCGGTCCCCAAAATGCCCCCAAAAGGACCCTAAAATGACCCCACAAAACCAAAATGACCCCAAATGACCCCAGAATGACCCCAAAAAGAGCCCACAAAACCAAAAGGGACTCCAAATAACCCCATGAGGACCCCAAAAAGACCCCAAAGTGCCCCCAGTTGACCGCTGAAGTCCCCAAATGACCCCAAATCCCTCAATCTGACCCCAAATCCACCCAGCTGAGCGCTGCATCCAGAAGCTGTGCTGGAAGCTCTGTGTCCAAAGTGACCCCAAAAGGACCCCAAAAGGACCCCAAATGATCCCAAAAGGACTGAAAATGACCTCAAAATGACTGCACTGAACCCAAAATGACCCCAAATCCCCCCAGAATGACCCCAAAATGACCCCAGAATGTCTCCATCTGACCCCAAATCCGCCCAGCTGAGCGCTGCATCCGGAAGCTGTGCTGGGAGCTCTGTGTCCAAAATGACCCCAAAATGCCCCCAGTTGACCCCAAATGACCCCATGTGACCCCATTCTTACCCCAATTGACCCCAAATCCCCCATTCTGACCCCAAATCCACCCAGCTGAGCGCTGCATCCAGAAGCTGTGCTGGGAGCTCTGTGTCCAAAATGACCCCAAAATTGACCCTATAAAGATCCCAAAGTGCCCCCAGTTGACTCCTGAAACCCCAAAATGACCCCAAATGATCCCAAAATGACACCAAAAGACCCCAAAGTGCCCCCAGTTGACCCC